GGGGGTGGGCAGGGTGATGGCGAAGGAGATGTTGGGAAGTTGAGTGTTCCTGATCGTTTGGAGATTGAGACTGATGGCAAGGTTGATACCGGTACTAAAATCGACACCGGTACCGATGACAACGCTAACACTACTATCACCACCCCAAACCAAACACCTACTCCTTTCCCTCTTCTTCCTCCTCCTCCTCCTCCTCCTCCGCAGCAGCAAAGTCCAACTCCACACCCAGCCCCTCAGCACAGCGATCTCCAAATCCCCCGTTTCGGAAGACTTTGGGATCGGGCTGGAGTTGTTGGTGGGGCTGGAGCTGGGGCTGGGGAGGCGGGGGATGGAGAAGGAGGGGTACAACAAGAACAAGGACAAGGGAAAGAAAAAGACGGGCTTCGGGGGAACGGAGAGAAGGAAGAAGCCGGCGAAGATGAAGTTGATGCGGTTGAGGGGGGAGTGGAGGGAGATGGAAGTCGAGATGGGAGAGGCAGAGAAGAGGGCGACGGAGAAGATACAAAGAGCCATGGAAGACGTGGTGTTGAGTAATATAATCCTAATTTGAACCTAGGACAGTGCCACTGGTTTAAATAAGGTCGATAGTCTGCAATAATGATGACACTGCCAGGCATTGCAATACCAGGATGCCGATTTCCAACTCTTACCATTCACCCACTCATCCACCCACCACCACCCATTTAAACAATACAAATACCAAGCCGTTACCCTAATACCCCCCTATATCTTTCCTTTTCTTGCTTGTCCTCTCCTCCCCGCTCATTTCCTAAACTACACCCTCCCTCTCTAGATGCCCGCATCATCAAAATTCTACCGGTACTTACGTTGCATGCTTCCTGCGTATATTGTACATCTTATATCGCATGCTATTAGACTCGCATGATACCAAGATGCATGATACCAAGATGCATGATACCAAGATGCATGATACCAAGATGCAAGATACCAAGATGCAAGATACCAAGATGCAAGATCAAAACATCAAAAGACCATGCTCGCAATCCAGCAAGATCAAAGAACAAAAGATCAAGAAAAGAAAGCAGACAAGATATTCAAATGTCGAAATTGAAATGGAGACAGAGGTGGGGGGCCTGAAAAAGGGAAATACAGACAGAAAGGGGAAGAGAGATGGGGCACTGGGAAAAAACGGGCAAAAAAGAAAGAGCAGATTTCCCCTCCAATCCTTCACGTCGAGTGAAAAAGCCCGGATAGAGAGAGGAGGAAGGAGAAGAAAAGAGAAACCGCAGCACACATCAAGATAATATAGACGTTTACTTTTCTAGTCCATACACCCCTCTCTAGACAAACAAACAAACCCCACAAAAAAAAACCCCTTCCAAAACAGCACCATGCACAAACACCCAAATCACCTCCCCATCCCCCTCAAATACGCCTCCCACCCCCCCTCCACCAACCTCCCATCCTTCCCCAAAACCTCCCTCTCATTCCCCCGCATCCACGCCCCCAACCGCTCGCGGATCTGCAAATCCTCAGCCCCAAGAATTCTCACCGCCAGCAGCACAGCATTCACACTATTATTAATACCAACGGTAGCCACGGGCTCGCCGCGCGGCATCTGCGTCATACTGACCAGACTGTCCCAGCCGTCCATGTGCGAGGCCTTGATGGGCAGGCCGACGACGGGTAGTGTCGTCCACGAGGCGCACATACCGGGGAGATGGGCGGCGCCGCCGGCGGCGCCGACGATGACTTTGAGCGAGGTTGAGGCTGCGGTTTGGGAGAAGGTGCGGAGCCAGTCTGGGGTGCGGTGGGCGGAGGTGATGCGGACGGTGAAGGGGATGGAGAGGGTGGTGAGGAGTTCGAGGCCTGGGCGGAGGATTGGGAGGTCTGAGTCTGAGCCCATGATTATGGCGACGAGGGGGTCTTGTTTGGATGGGGAGGGGATGGGGGTGGGGAGGCCCTTTTGGGCGTCGACAAAGGCGATGAGGGGTTGGATTTCGTGTTCGGCGGCGGCGAGGGTGGGTGCGGTGAGGGTGATGTGGCCCATTTTGCGGCCGGGGCGGGCGTCGCCTTTGCCGTAAAGGTGGACGCTTGCGTTGGGAGATTCGAGGGCTTTGTGGGCGACTTGGACGTGGGAGTCTGGGGTGGAGCCGCCGAGGATGTTGAGCATGATAGCCGGTTCTTTGAGTCTCAGGCTGGCCTGGGTGATGGGGAGATCGAGGATGGCTCGCAGGTGAGCATCGTACTGGCTAATGGGGCATGCCTCGATGGTGTAGTGGCCTGAGTTGTGAGGGCGGGGGGCAATCTCGTTGATGAGCAGGCGGTCGTCTTTGAGGAGGAACATTTCCACGCCGAAGACGCCCTTGCCTTCAAATGCACCAATGGCCTTCTTCGCAAGATCTTGAGCCTGTCCGCAGATGTTCCGGGACACATTACGAGGAGGCGCGTATGTGAGCTTGCAGATGCTGTCCTCGTGTACCGTCTCAACAGTGGGAAAGGTTAGTACACCGTCCTTGGTCTTGACCACCATGACCGCCAGCTCCATCCTAAACTCGGCCCACCGCTCCGCATACAACGGCCTCTTCCCCAGCGCCTCAAATGCCTTTTCAATATCGCCCTCGTTCTTGACAACAAAGTTTCCCTTGCCATCATACGCCTCTGTCTTGCTCTTCAGCATATACGGATATCCATACTGCCTCCCCACCTCTTTCAAGCCCTCCACGCCCTTGCCCTCAAGATCAACCGAATCCGCAACATCCACACCATGCTCTTTCAAATACGCCTTTTGCGCAAACTTGTCCTTGATGATTCGTAGCGTCTTCCAACTCGGCTCGACTACAACCTGTCCAGCCACCTCCTCGAGCATCTGCGTGTCCACGTGCTCAATTTCTACGGTGACGACATCGCATGATTGCGCCAGTTGCTTGACAGCTCCAGCTTCTTTGAAGGATCCTTCAATGTGGCCGGAATGTGCAGAGATTTGCTTGGCTGGGGTTGCTGCTGCGTCTAGCACATTGACTTGAATGTTGAGTCGGTTGGCGGCTTCGATGAGCATGCGGCCCAGTTGGCCCCCACCAAGCACGCCCACTTTGCGACGGTCGACCATGTTGCAATGTCGTGGCAGTAATGTCACCTTTACCGTGATTGTCCAGTGGTGTAGTCACTTCTTTTGGAGGTTCGCAGGTCAAAATGGCTAGTCACTTTCTGGTTGGTCGAATGTGGGGAAGTGGCAGAAAATTCAGTCTCAAGAAAAGTTCAACCATGGAAACCGCCGATTGCGCGTCCCAAAGCGGACACTCCCACCAACGTGCATCGTTCACTGGACAGTCAAAGAGATTCATTCGTCACATGTGCATTTTTCAGAGAAGATCATTTCATGAGTTGACCTCATGAGCTCGGGAGAGCACATGGGCTTGCTTCCATTGCATAATTGCATACTGAGTATCCTTTTGCAGACCCTTGATAAGCCCGTGCCAGTCATGATGCACGCTTCGTAAGTAAATTCCCATGACCATGACCACGCCGACAACCCAAAGAAACAGCGACTGCGCCTTTTGCAGCACACGCTTACACCTTGAAACCACGCGACCTTCTGCGTCCACGAGCGCGCTCAAATTTGCGGCCCTTGCTCTCGACGTATGGCTTCTTGTTGGAGTGGGGTCCAAAGCCGAAGTGCTTGACGGCCTCACGGGCGTTCTTGGGGCCACGGAGGAGGAGGGTGTTGGATCCGGTGGGGAAGCGAGTGGCAACCTCATCGATGGTGAGGGTCTCACCGCCGGCCTTCAGGATGCGTGCGCGAGCAGAGGCAGTGAAGCGGAGAGCGGCAATGGAGAGCTTGGGGAGCTCGAGAAGACGGTTGTCGTCGGTAACGGTGCCGACCTAATCTCATGTGTTAGCAGGGCTTTCTGTAGTTCATCTTGCTCGGGATGTCGCATACAATGACGATCGTCTTGCCCTCGTGTGCCTTGGCGGATCCCTTGTTGGCAGCAGTCGCGATGATGCGGGACAGGCTGACGGCTGTAGCAGAGTTAGTCACTCGATTGGTGTTTTTGCCTAGTCGGTTGGCTTACGAGGGCGGTTGATCTTGGACATCATGAGACGTCGCAGAACGGTCTTGTTGAAGGGGGCATCGGTACGGCCTGTCGGCGGTCAGCTTTCACACAATGGCGCACTCATGAGTGGGCGTGACTTACGAGCCAAAAACTTGTACAGACGCACCAACAGCTTGACGTAGGGGTTGGTGGACTTGGCTACCTCTGTATACTTGGTCAATCCTCTCGCTCTTCAAGGTTCATGTTGCGTCTAGAAGACTGCAGTCGCCAGCGCATTGCTGCGCCGACTCGACGGGGTTTCACGTACTGCGGTGCCCGTCTCGAACATGGTGCTTGTCGAGATCGATACCCATTTTGACTGATTTTGAGCGGCGACGGGTGCTGTGGGTTAGTAACGAGTCTGGGAGGTCGAAGTTCGCAGTCTGAGAAAGGAATTTGGACGTTCGCTAAGCAAGTGTGAGCTAGCGCTCGAAGTGGTTAGGGCTGCGTTAGTCCCGTTCTGGAGCACCACCAATCCAATCCCATGTGGGGACAATATAGAATATCAATAGAATTGGTGTTTTGCGAAGCTTGGAACCAATTATGCATGAAGTTTAGGCTCTTGAACCTTGCACATAGCCACCGTTCGCATAATTGCGAGACACGAACTCTATCATCTAAATAAGATGGTGTCAAAAACTGGATGCGCTTACAGTCTACTGTTACTGGCTAAGAGGTACATAATAGATAGTATATATACCAGTGCGTGGCCTCGAGCCAACCGCGGCATCTATATATGGCTCAACGTGTACTATAATCATACCCCCGTCGTTACTCCCTAGACATGCTATCGAAACAAATCCAAGACATTCCCAAATCGCTTGGTCTTGAAGAAAACGCCCGGGCATAAAAGAGCCCACCTATCTATGCGAACAAACCCTAGTGACCATCCACCCCAAGCCACTTGAAAAAAAATGATACAAGACAACAAAGAAGTAGAAAACACGAGACTGCCTCGTAAAAAATCACCTAGGCTGGTGCTGATTTCGCTGGCCTTTTACAGCACAAGTCTACTGCCCAGAACTCGATGCATCGCTCAGTTGCCCTTTTCACCAATAATCTTGCCAATACCGTCGTAGACCCTTCCAGTCTGCTCGGGGGCATAGCGGGGTCCAAGAGAGCCCAAAACCATGAACACGGAGATGATGACTGCGGTGAAGATCATCAACTTACGGAGCACAGGCCTGGTGTGGCCAAGCTCCTGCCACTTCATACTGCCCTGTCCAAGGTATTCCTTGAGCTTCTCTCCACCGAGCTTGTAGTAGATGAGACCACCGAGCGCGATACTGTAGCCGAATGCCTGGAGCAGCGAGACAGGGTCCTTGAAGAGGAACATGGAGGCGAAGACAAGGAGAATGTCCTTCAGTACACCAGAGAGGGTAAGGACGAGGGATGAAGTCTTGCCAATCTACGTGGCGTTAGCAAAGGTTCAACGATTGCACGGACAAAGACGTACCAGGAAAACGACCGAAACGTTGAGCAAGAAAGCGACACTAGCATTGGCAACGAGCGTAGTCATACCAACGCGATCAATGTCGACCATGGACATTCTTGGCAGCTCCGTAATCATAAGGACGCAGCCGTTGATGATGGCACAGGCCGGGTATCCAGATAAATGCTCCTGCGTCTCAGGGTGGGGAAC